TAACTAGCTAAAAATAAACTTAAATTAATCATTTGATTTACCCAAGAGATAATTCCACAACTAAATGGTAGAGAAGGATGAAGACTTATTGGAATCATCATACTGTTTGACATAGAATAATAGCAATAACAAAATGCAAATAAATGGAGAAACTAATTAGAATACGAAAACTGGTTTGATTGAATGAACAGTACTACTTACACAGACCTGAGAAGCTTATCCAGTAAAAATTTGCTGATAAACAGGTCAAAGCATGTTAACGAACCATAACGGTGGCTTTGAAGGTGCTTTATTTTAAATGAAGTTCAAAAAAATGAATCCGGTGATAGCTAATGAAGTAATATACTTCCTTAAAAACTAACGCTGATGTAAGAAATACCACTCGAAATGGTTCTTACTACAGATCATGGGAATGATCAGAACATATGCGTGTCTGGCAATTACCTCTACGTGTCGCAAACAAATTTAATAGAAGCATGCATCAAAATTTCCATCTAAATGACTACCTTCGGCTAGTTCATAAGTTGACCAACTAATTTAACCCTGAAAGCTGATTTCTAACATCATATGTAAATCTTTGCACCAACGTCCCGTTACATATCACTTTGACTATCCGAATTCTAACTGGTCGGAATAATTGTAGCACAGTGAAGAAAGTCTTTTGTCCATAAAGTTTTTCTACCTTTTTTTTAACCGTGATATTTGGTTCACTGGGATATTTAGGTAACTTTGGATTATGCTGCGTGATTTTCTTTAGTTGTGCTAGCCAACCTTTTTGCTGACATTTCCCCAATTTAAAAAAAGTCCTACTTCCCCAAGTCTTGTCAACAGTTCAAAAATGCTGATAAGTATCCTTGGTTTCCTGAAACTATGATTTCAGTTGTAGGCCTTTGCAGTTGAGTTCCTGTTCGCCGGATAACAAGTCCGAACCCTCTCCGACTTACCAGGTAGTATCACTAGTCCCAACATTGTAGAAGTGGTTTACTGCCTAACACACGAAGTTTTTAAGTTGTTTCATTTTACCTAGACCGAACGTGAGAGTAACAATGACCAGGAATCTAGAACCCTGTGACACAGATGTACGTTTCGTCCCCACAACAATCATAATAGATTATAGTCCAGTTATCAACTTGAATCTACAACAGGCACTTGTCTATGGAGAGAGGCCTTTTACTGTGCGATTTCTTAAACCCAACAGCTCTCAATTCATGTTGTGATCCAAGCATCACGTATCTTGGATGTCAGTACATGCAGACATATAGATTATACTAATTTTAAGTGTATGATGCTTAGTTCATGACTAGATCGCAGCTTAAAGTCATCGATTTTAAGTTGCAGGGTCTGCAAGGATTAGTTTGTAGTTTCCAACTATGGGCCCTAGTGACTAAGACGGCTAGTGAAAACTGATGAATCTTCGCCTAAGTCCCACCTGCACGAAAAGAAGACCGAATGGATATCTCTAAGATGATATCAGCTCAAAAAAACTTATGTACCGACCATCGTTTCCGAATTCGCACCAATGAAAACCTGTCCCAAATTAGCAGCAAACTACAAACGTAAGGAGATATTGTCATAATTAGCGACCGATGACACTAAGTTAACGGTGAACACAGATCACATTTCAGCAAGCCACCAGTGTAAGACTGGTGCACACTATTCAGTGATTGCTTGCACTCTAAATTGGTTAGAGTAGATGTCACAGCTCACAGAGAGCAAGCACACGGTCATAAGACGTGACCATCCTGGTTGTTTCAAGGAAGAACTAGCTAGGAAGTTATCGGAGAGTAAAAAATATAATTTCCAGGAGTTTTCTTGGCGTCAATATTTTCCTGTTGGCATCAACAGGAAGTACACTTAACACCTACCATCCACAATCGAACCTTAATAACCTACATGAGGTGGTTAGGAAGAGATGAGGAAGGTAATAACCAAAACCTCCAATAAGTTCAGAAAAAAATACCTAAAACGTATCCATATGAAGGCTGCGCTGAGCTAACAATCAAAGACGTACTTCTGATTTGCAAACTTTCACTGTTACGATAGCGGCTTTTAGCCAGACAACCCTTTTCACTGCTAGGTTCTCATTTTACAAATCCTATTGTCCGTTAGAGTTTGAGGTTGGCAAGGTCTTTCTAGGGTACAAAATGGAATGAGATGCTAAGTGTTCTGAACACTGGGGTAAGGCTTTTGTCTACCAAATGGAAGACGATATTCCAGTAGTTTGCACTGGCTTCTGGTTCAAGAGTACAATTGTGAATGCGTAATTATTTCGACAGATTTACTAAATTAATGGGCTGTGTTAGTCTTGGTGACCAGACAGAACCTAGCATTGATGTAGAAAGTCTGATCCATTTTAGTCAACCAACGCTACCACCTGTAACACGAATATCAATCAAAACTATGCATACTAAGCAGCAAATTCCTTCATTTTATTGTAGCTAGTTGACAAATAACAATTCGAGGTAGATTATGTGAGAATTTACATGTTGACCATTGTCAAAAAACCACACACATCTGGTGAAAGAGACTAACGGAGGTGAGGCAATAAAATTAGTCGGCGAAGCTTCAAATATAGATTTCACTTTTCAATGAATTCCTACGACTTTCCGTCTTACTTTTTGGTAATTCGTCTTGTATCTCGATATGCTGACTTGAGGTGTGGCAGTATTGTCAAGCCCCATGTTGATATAGACTGACCAGATTCACAGTTTCTGACCTCAGTATTGCTTACTTTGTGATTCTACTACATATATCAGCTATGACCAAATAAAAAAGTAAACTTTAAAATACTCTTTATTGATGTTCACAAATCCTAGTGGTTTCGTTTTTAGCTCAGATGACGCTTTTGAGAGGTTGTTTGTGTATTATACTCATGAAATTATAATGTAACCAGTGACACCTGACAGCCAGTCAATATCAACATGGGATCCTAGTACCACTGCGTAACGGTTCAGGTTTCCCCATATAGAAGCACCTAAATGATCATACAAACAACCTTTGGAAGACATACATCATAATATCGATGATAACATCACAAGAGACGGATCTCGACAATTGTCTCACACAACAGTTTGGCAAAATAGATACGGAATAAAGTGGAGTTGAAGACTTACTTTAGTAAGTCCAATGTAATGCAGAACGAAAAGAATTGTAAGTTAGAACTTCCGAACTATCTCTTGGTGAAAGGAAATCAATTATTTAATATACTCATATTGGGGATAAAAATAAGTGTCGCTAACTACTGCGATACAACCAAGAGGAACAAAAGCTCTAAAGTAACAGTTACACCGATACGATATGAGGAAACCATTGAGTTGAACTAAATGAATAAATCCACTTGTGTTCTCCGTTCATGTTTGTCAAGATCTTTTCACATGCAGATACACGTTAAGTTAGTAAAAAGACACTAAATTTTCTAAAAGCGACATACTTCTCAGACATCAGTGGGATTATGAACAGTGAAAAGTTAGGACATATATCGAACTGGAATTCTTTCCTCCGTTTTTTAGGGATTTACATAGACGGGAAAGATGAACGTGTAAACCCCCCATAGAGCATAAGCTTTTCGAATTTTATGAAGCTATTATAACTTTTCTATCACTAAGCTGATGAGTTACCTTATGGTTAACACAGTAGCTTCATATTCAGTTGACTACTCATGAAAAAAGTTCAGTCCAGTACAAAAGTTAAACTTTCGGCTTTGGTGAGTGTTGAAGCTAAGCTTCTCTTGAAACTGACTGACAAAATCAACTTAGAACCTCACACGCAAGTGCATCGGCTCTTGAAACACTTAAAAACTTTGACTTATTAGTAATTATTGATGAGTCAAGATGATTGATGTGGGTACCTGTTTGCTGACAATGAACTGCAACAGACGAATCTGTTCTCTCAACCAAGAGTGTTTACTAAGAATCATTTCATACAGTTCTTTACCTTCACAAATTTAAATACAACGAGAACAACAGTTTTGGTAGAATAGCATGGATTCACTTTACTTTATGGTTTTTCATCAGCTTCACTACTTAAAACAATTTTCACATCAATTTACGTCAGTTTGCATAGTTAAATCAGTTTGAAAACTATCGGCTTGAATTAAAGATAACATCGATATGATGCAACTGAAAACACGCGAATAGTGAATCAACGTGGAGAACTAACAATAATATTTAATAAACAAAAACAATCCAACAACCACATGTACACTTAGACAAGACCTGAAGCCACACCTATTGTGCGAGAGATAGTAGTACTACATAGCTACCTAAAATTGGGTTAGTGCAGTATTGTTCAGACCCATGACTACCTGAATGAAGTCGAAGCAACTAAATAAATGAACCACTATCTCACAAAACCACACTGGAACTCATGAAAAATTTGAGGATCTGAAGCCTGAATGAACGAGCACCGGTAGTAGAGATAAAAGCATGAATTAGTTAAAAAAACGACAATCACATTCAGTCCTTCAAATAAATGTGATACTCCTGTTAAGTTTAACTTAAGGCACAGTACGTCTATACTTCGTTTCAAGCTTGTGGAAATACACAAAATATTACATTTTCACATAGCACGTACCATAACATTTACGAATACCACTTAAATTAATAAAAGCCAGTGTATATAATAATAAGAAATTATTATTTCGAAAAAAAAGATAATCTTTGGGATGAACAGTAAATATTAAACATAATAATCTGATATATAATCGGGTAGCTTCTAGATGTCAATGCTGATGAGGTAGGTGATACTGTACAATGAAACCAAAGGATGAAAGTTACTAAACAGATGAATGCAAGGGACAAAATCACATGAACACAAACAAAGTTGTCAGTTACTGTTTTTCTGGATGGCAAAAGCAAGATAATTTAAAAGTAAATAAGGTACGAAATATTTTAGGACGAACTACTTAACTTATTAGCAAGTGGCGCTTCACATAGAAAAACTAAAGATGAAAGAAATATAAAGAAACTGGAAACAAACCTAGAAATCCATGGGGTACCAAGTCAGGCTACTTTGCCGGATAAAGCGGGACAATCTTTATCCAGATGATTGACGACAAACATTTTTAGACGCTCCACTTCTATTCTGCTGCGAGATAACCTATTACGCAGCGCTTTATTTTCCTCTGAGAGATGTATCACATCCTTCTCCAAGCTTTTAATCAAACGAATTTTTCTTTCTCTGCATTTGCGTGCGGCATCCCGATTTCTTGCTCGTTTACGCTCTAACCGCATACGAGATTGTTCAGTAGGATCCAGACGACAGTCCTTAGGGTTAGATCCAGAAATGTTTTTAGAACTATTCCCCTGGGAAGAAGATGAAACAGAAGAGACAGATGATGACCTAATGTTAGGTATAGCATCGGTTTGATCTAAACCTATATCTACTGAGGAAGGACGAGTGTCATCTGCGTCTTGAGGTGAGTTTACTGAGACAGTACGATGACCGTCTGAAGTATCAGCGGAAGGTAGGTTTGTCTGGATATTCAATGGCCATAGAGAGTGATCAATAGTCTGGTTGGTAATTTGAGCACGATGAACAAGTTCTGGTTGAGGTTCAAGACCCAACATTTGTAGGACTGATGCCTGCGAAGCCCCATTGGTTGATATACCAAGACGCAATCCATTCGGTAGTTGGACAGTCGTGACTTCATTGTCTGCAGATGGCTGTGCAGCATTAGGAAGGGAGATAGAAAGTGAATTTTGTAAGTTTGCAAATGTGATACTCGGTTCACTAATTGGATTTACTGGTTCAGTCTGAGGTGACTGGAAGGCAACAAAACCACCTGGAGTAACGGTTTGGATACCTGGTAAAGACTGAGCATCGAAACATGTTGGGGAGTAGAAAAGTATTGACGCCGGAGTTGTACTTATTCCACTTTGACTTGCCTGTCGACACAATCCGGCAAAATTTGGGAGATTTTGAGGGGTTATGTCCGTCAGGTTAACATTGTACAAATTACTACTGTTAACGGCAGAAGTGGCTGGGCTAAGAGCTGCTGTCAGGGATGCTAAGCCAGAAGCATCCCGAAGTTCATTTAGTTTTTGAGTAAAGACACTGTAAGAAACACATATACAAACTTCATCACTTACTTAGCAAATCTCTCTTGTTCTTCAGTCACATGTTTAGGATTAAGAAAACTTCCCGGTGTTTGAGGTGAGGCTTTTAGATGCTGTAGTATCTTTTCTACTTCTGAACGCAATATTGGTTGAAGTTTCCTCCAGCGAAGGAGTGAGGAAAGATGATAATCCAGGGCTCTTAATTGTATTATCCAATAAAATATTGAGAGTTGTAGGACGAGGTGCTGGGGATACTTTGGAAGGAATTGGTTCAGCGCTTAAAGAGTCATCTGAATTTCGGTTCTTATCCATTTCCTTGAATTAAATACCAAGAGATGACGGTAAGTAAAAACGATGACTCACCTGGATCCAAACAGATGACTCAAGGTCTAAGGCGGCTGGTAGGCTAAATGGAAAAATTGGAATGATCAAACAAACTTTAAGCCCATTTCAGTAATCTATCAGATCCACAAATAGCCCGAAATTTTGCAATCCCATCTTTCAATATACTTTTTTCGATTAAGTGCAAAGTATATTGCCAAACGTGCTTCCCACTATCTAATTTCCAAGCTAGTATGGTAAAATGAGTTATTGCCTTTTTATGTCCGTATATAATAAGGCTGCATCCTTTCTCGCTTGCTGAGCCCCTGATGAGCATCGAAATCATTTCTAATTTTCTGTATCTCAGATCTTAGGGATTTGACGGTCTGCGAGTCGCTACTGTTTGGAATTGACAGACTAGGTTAGCAAGAAAACTTCGGAGTTGCTGGGACGACAGGTGATCTTTGTAATGTCCCCATGGAAGCCTTAGATCTTGGGACCTATTGCAAATTAGTCAGCTAGTCAGTGAAAAGGCCAATTGTTTGTGGTCGAAAGTAAGTGTTAATTTGTGGCAATAGTAAGAACCAGTGAAATGTCGTGACTGAGAAAACGATGAGGTGCAAATATGGAAATGCTACAATGAGTTAGCAAGGTGAGACTCCCTGCACATTTTTGTAGTAAAGCTCTCGTGTTTAAATGTTCATCTGACGATTTTTAGGGTGACTGTGCCAAAGGAACCATTACTGTTTCCCGATGTGGTGCACTGCAGTGGGCACCATCGCAGTGAAAAGAACCTGGCTGTTGATGTTAGCCCTTTCGTGTGCTACTTATATTGGGTTCCTGTGTGGCTACGTATCCTGGGTTAGTGGTATTTGCTTGTGAATGTCGTTCCTCACCCGAAAAATCTCACAGGCCGTTATTACCCTGTTCTCAACAGCAGCGAAGAATAAATAGGTCCAGTTGCCTAGGTCTATGAGAATGAGGTATTCTTCATAGCCTCATGACATTCTTCACCACTCTTCCATGTACCTTCCACTGAAGTTCCAAGTCCTGGTTGGGCGGTGGGGGGTCTGGTTTGTTAAGGATCCAAAGATGTGATCTAATGGCCGTTTTGCAGGTCACAATGAAGAGTTCACTATCGAAAGCCCCGAGCTACCTCTGGAGGAAACATTTAACAGTTTGCCTCCGCACCCATTGATATATATATATATATACATGGTCCATTCCAGCGTTTTTTATGGCGGGGAAACTGAGGCTCAGGTCTTCCTCCATGGTCACCAGAAGGATAATGTGGCCTTTCAGGGTTCATCAAAACCTGCTGGTCTTAGGAGTTCGAAGATATATTGCTTCGCATTGCCCTAGGTCTAAGCTTAGGCCGCTTCTTGTGCTTCGCGATTCCATTTGTGACAGATCTTAAAATTATCTCGGTTCAGTGCTGTCATCTTTTGCCTGCCACATTTTGACGTCACCCGTGAAAAATAAGATGGCATATTACACTCCCACATTCGAATTGCTTATGATGGGTAGGGATAGTACTAAATCAAGGATCTCTCCTTAAGACACTTCAAATATGAAAGCCCTGGGTGCAGGCCAAGGTCTGCTGAAAAAATCTGGTGCAAAATTACTGATGCGACAAACTCTCCGTAGATCAAAAAACTTTCACTGGTTCCTGCTTCCAAAATTTGTGTCCGTAGTGTTATGCCTTGCACGACTGAAAGTGTTGAATGGGTCAGGAAGGACACTAGTGACTTCTCGCTTATTATCTCTGCCGGCTGTTCAGTCACTCGATCGCTCACCAAGTTGATGGCCTAAAAGCTACCAAACCATGCACCACTTTGGGTTCAGTGAATGGTGCTGCAACAATTGAGGATTCCTGGCTAAATGGATAACCAGAGTTTCTGGTGCCTTAGAGAGTGTGAGTGACGCGGTTACAGGTTTGTGCTTGGTTGTGTCTTTTCTGTCACCTCCTATAAACGTTGGCTAAAGGAGGCTTCTTCCATCCTTTTTAATTTGTTACATCTGGGCCGGCCTTTTGAAAAAGTCACAAAGGAGTGGGATCAGCACTTCAGTTCGTGTGTATGTAATATCACTCGTCTGGCACATGGCAGCCTCCAGGTCCCTATGACTTCAGTACCAGCAGTTCTTCGAAAAGTATGTTGTCAGATTTCGACAGTGCGTAGTTTTCCTGTGGTCATCGGGTAGAGGAACGTTTGGGGATGGGTACGTTGCGGATTCGTACCGCCTGACGACTCGGCTGCCTACTCACAGCTCAGGATCCTCTGTCGGACTGGCTATGAGTTGGATGCCCTTAATTGTTCGTTGCCCGTATGACACGAAGCGCAATAGGCATTTGGAGCTATTTTTGCCGTCTTGCAAAGTTATTTCGCATTGGCACCTGTAGCCTGGGGCCCCGAATTTGCACTAACTACCTAGTCTTGTAGATAAGAAAACCTGGTTCATTGTGAACTGACTGCTAGGGTTATCAGTCTTAACCGTTCATTCATATCAGTCGTCCCGTATCTCACTAAAGCCGTGGAGTCGAGGGTGGCCATTACACTTCTGGTACACTTGCGTGGACGTACTCCTAGATTATATCTTTGATAAGTGACTAGTGTTCAGCCACGGTGGGAGACGCCCAGCCTAACGGCTGCGGTGCCTTGAGCGGGACATATTTCATTTCTTTGCCGTTCACCTAACCAGATCACAAACCCTCGGTTTCTTTTCACTTATCACGAGGAAGGTTGCTACTCTGTGGCCGTGCTAACCTGGTCCAAGATGGACACAAGTATTTTTGCAAGTAGTCCCATTCAACCTTGCCTCAGATCCGGAGTTGCTTGTTGAGGGCCTATATGTGACATTCAAAAGGTACTTCATGGATTGTAAGGTGAAATAGCACCACACGAAATCAGATATCTGGATTGGTTCGGCATTCGGTGCTTCCCTATGTTCGGCGTCTGAATAGATGTAAACGGCCACCCTACTTTTATCTTTGAGACATCTGTTTTTGCTGCTTAAGGCAAGGTTATTTGGATGGAACTCTGCATGTGAAAGAAAGAGGGGGAAAGTTTCAGTTATGAAAATTAATTTAGAGTTGAGGTATCTGAAGAGGAATCCGGCCCTCTGACTTACTTTTCAGCCCTCGTACGTCGCTGTATATTCATGCTAAGACACCCTGAATTAGCAATGGGTTTCCACCAAGGTGTTCATGGCCTGGAAATGGCGCCGGTACCTTCGAAACGAAGGTTATTAGTTCACATCCAACTGACGAGAGCTAGTTTTTCAGATCATCACCACGATTTTGTTTTCGTATGGCTGTGATATGCTCACAGTCATATTCTTCAGGCTGATACCTGGCGACAGTAGCAGACTACAACGTTCGCCATGGTGTCCTTCTAACTGTCTATCTGATCTTGCTTATATTCATCCATTTATGTTTGTCTCACTGCCTGTGCGGGCACCAGGGAGCGCAGCATGGAGGTATTATCGAGATTAACAATCAAGGAGTGAAAATGCTGCAAAGGGGGGTGTCACTTGAATGCCGGCTTTTCGTCAATAACCACCCGCATCTCTCCGTGTCGAAAGATGGGATTCATTGTTTCCGTATATTTCTATCAACCCTGGTATATCATTCCCAACCATTGAGGAGATCTTATATAAACTGTTTCTTCTGCCCAGTCTCAATGTGGCTTTATCCGATCACGCCCGAATCACGTGGGACGAAGAAGATGCCATTTGAGCTCGGTTACAACGCGGCAACCGGCACATTAATGCGGAGGCACATGGTATCCCTACTGCCTGGCAGCACTTCTGCCAAACAGTCCGGTTTAAAGCACAGCCACTGGGCAAAAAAATACGGAGACCGCTCTATTTGTCGTGGATCTTACAGACGTTTCACCCGATTTCGCTTTATTCGAAATTCTGTCTTCTTTTTTGCTTCTCTAATGCAATTCTTGGGAGTGCATAAACTCTTATTCTGCAGTTGCTTCATGAGGAGGAAATAGCTCTCAAACAACTGTTGTAAAGTCTTCCATTTGAGGATATTTACTGAATTTATGGTGAAAATCATTATTATTGCAAATGACTGAGTGTATACGAAAGAAAGCCAACTTTACAGGCCAAGGCTACGCCTATCACTTCCAACCTGCTCAAAAAGAATACTACCTTTGGGAAATGCTTAGGTTGCTTGGAAATATGGGTTTGCTATCACGAGTTCCTTTTGGTTCGGGTGACACTTTAAAGTTCCGTAAGGCAGCATGACCTTGAGGTTACTGCTGCTGGATGGTAGAAAGAATCTCAGCCGCCTTCTAAAGCGGCAAGGTATAGAATCTTGGCACGGCTTCCACAATCACCACTGACAGAATGCCTCCGTCTGCGCCAGCTGCGTTCCAAAAGCTTGCTCACCGCTTTGGTAACCACGGCATTAGCATGACCACGGGTCATCCATCGGTGAATGGCGTGGTGAAACGACTCTATGAAAACCCACTCCCCATCACCCAAAGTGTAGGGGAATACTTCCATACCAGCAGAAAGGCAAAGCAATTGGTAGCATCGGTCGAACCATTGAAGACAGCATGGCAGAATTTAGCCGGCTGGAACGTCAAGTAAAGGGCGTGCTTGATACAAAACTGCCACCTGCACAACCTGCAGCAGTCTACCTACTACCGTCTGTCCTCGTAGTGTGACTGTGTTCTACTGACTGCTAATAAAACTTTAGATGTACATTTAGACTTCCTGTGTATTTATGGACAAACACGTTACCACGCGTTTAACTTGATTTTTGCTCCACAATTTAAATTCCTTTGCCTTATGTAAATATTTCTGTAAATACATCCTTCAAAAAAGCTTGAACATCATTATCAACATTATGTTTACCTTCATTTTCTCAAAAACAACCGACAACCGCAGAATACGTAAAGCAGTGCAATAAGCATATATACAATAGTGTATATTGGGACAAATATTTGGCGTGGAAAAATGAAAGTGAATCAGATAATGTGAGCAAATACCGCCGCTGTTTGACCGGGACTGTATTGGCCCTATCCTAGCCAACAGTCGCCAACTGAGCAAACAGCCAACAGGTGAACCAAAAGACAGACGTCGCAGGATTCGAAAAGATTCAATTGAGTGA